GCCCATTGACCACCTCTGCCAACTCCCAACTAGACCCCACCCTATGCTGCTACTTTCTGCTTCCTGCACTCTACTCACCTCCACCCACAACAGAACCAGCCCCACCTCCCACTCCAACCCAGCCTCACATTCACCTCACAGCTGATCAGGTGAGAAGTCAGCTCAGGAAAACAAAGATCAGGAAGGCAGCAGGACCAGATGGAATCAGCCCCAGACTGCTCAGAGACTGTGCGGACCAGCTCTGTCAGGTGGTCCTACACATCTTCAACCTGAGTCTGAGTCTGGAGAGGGTTCCTGATCTGTGGAAGATATCCTAAATGGTTCCAGTGCCAAAGATCATACATCCCAGGGAGCCCAATCACTACAGACCGGTGGCTCTGACTTCTCACTTGATGAAGACCATGGAGAGGCTCATTCTGCACCATTTTCGTCCTGTGGTGAGCCTAGCACTGAACCCCCTGTAGTTCGCCTACCAGCCTGGCATCGGGGTGGAGGACGCTGTCATCTACCTGCAGCACTGATGTCTCTCTCACCTAGAGCAAGCAGGAAACTCTGTGAGAGTCATGTGTAGGGGTCACCTCGAGTGAAGAAACAAGATTTACTGCCTCGAAGCAGGCCTCGGACAGGCCTGACAAGAGGACAGGAACTCTGTCACAAACTGAACTCTATTTAGGCCATGACAGGTCATTCTAACCGTGGAAGAGAACCCCTCAGTTCTCTTAATCAGATAATGGACAGATCTCTTCTGTTCGTGATTCATTTGTTGTTTAACTAAGTATGTTTATGCATTTGTTAAATCATGATAATGACTGTCACAGGAAAAGTGGAACCACTTCTTTTCTTTTATCGTGCCTTAAAGATTTAAAATGGTATAAAAAAATTACAGATAATCTGATTACAAAGTTTTCATTGTGTTTTTATGTAAATCACTGTTTTTATTTTACTGTGAACACAGTAATATAATTGTAAATTTTTCCTGAGAAAATCTTTCATTTATCTGGACTAACAGAAGGTTCAGAACTGATTATAAAACAGAAATGTTAATTAATCATCATAAATGTTTTGCAGTGATTTCTCTTAGAGTCTATCAGAAGAAAGCTGAAAAGAGGTTATCATATCATGTTGTCGAACAACCACAGAATTTTAACCTTGGGCTGGTGCCGGCTGGCAAATCTTTATCTTTCTTTCTCTGACTCATCTCTAAGCCAAAGGGCGGAACCAAAGTTTGTCTGTTTCTTTTACTAACCCGGACGGCTTTGAGCTACTCTCTCTTCTTCCTGACTCAACCTAGGAAGACAGCTGGGATTCTCTCTGGAGAAACCTCAGTTTGGCTTTAAGTCTGATCCCATGAGCTAATTAGGGAAGACTTCACAGCCAGGGACCCGGCATGCCTGCCGGTGGTCTCAACCCGAGGCCGAGCCTCTGAGTGTGTTTTTAACTCCCGAGGGGAGATTTTATTTTGGAAGGAGGAACCGGAAATGGCTTGAATTTTTCTGGCTTGGACTGAAACAGATGAAAGTTACCTGAAAAAACACCTGTTCGCCAATGACCGGTAAGCGAGCTGACATCAGTTCCCTGACTGATTGGAGGCGACCCAGCTCCTACCTCGAGGGTGCCTTAAGAAGTCATCACCAGGTAAAGCTGATGTGTTCGGAGTGACGTGTCATGTGGAACCTGAGCTTAGAAAAGACGTGCAGTTCCAGTTGACCCACACTTTGATAAAGTAAAAGAAGTAGTAACATACTAATCTTACTTTCCTCCTTTTCTTGTTCTTAATTTGCCAAAACTTAAGCTAAAAGTGCCAGTAAAATTGTTTGGTTGTTAACATCAGAACTGACGTTTTACTGTTCAGTAATCTGAGTTGATGTGAATTGAAATTCGGACGCGGGTTTTATCTCATTTAAGTCTGACACTTGTTATAGGAATGACCACAATCAAGTGTAACTTATGATCTGTTAAATTTGTGTAAATAAATGATTGCATAATCTTTTATGAACCAACTTGAACTCGTCTGAACGTTCACGTATTGCGTCACTTTTCACTTCGCACAGTCAAGATA